TCATAAGGATTCTTAGTTCTGCAAAGGCCCAGCTGCATAAATCTAAGACACCTATCCTCTATCTTAAGAGGTTTTTTTAAATATAAATCTAATAAACTGAGTACTCAATTAAAATGTCCAAGTCATCACAATCCAGAGATAAGAAATCCTGTTGTAGTGAATACATGCCTTTCCACATGTGTCCTCTGGCTTGGCTTAAGAAACTGTTGATTCTAAGGAAACCCTCTGGATTGCTTTGTCTTTGCCTTTGAGAATTTTTTTCTATGTGTAGAGTGTATTTATACTAGTATAATACTTGTGTATCAACAATACTGCTCCTTACCTAAGAAAAAAGAGGTTAAGAAAAATACTTGGCACTACAATACCAAAGAATTGCACATTGAAATGGGAATGTGGACACACTGCTATTATTGTTTAGGAGAGTGTTAACACCTTTCACTGAAGACCTTAACACTAGCTTGACCCTTTCATTATCACCAGCCTTTATCACCAGCCAAAAACGCTGCAATTCTGGCCCAAATCCCAATGCTGATCTGGCTTACAGAGCACTACAGGTGACAAGCAATACAGAGAAAAGTGAAAATTCAAAACATATGTGGATGAATTCTTGGAATTTTAGGTGACCTGCTTTCCAGTTTTCCTTTTCACTCTTCTTAATTTTTATTTCCTTCTTCCCCATACAAACCACCACACTTTTATAATAGAGTACTGCCATGTGTGCCTGCAAGAGAGATACTATTTCACAGTTTATAGACAGTGTTCCCGTAAGCTGACTGCAGGTGCTGAGCTGAATGTTCTTTGTGGAGGGACATGTTTAAGCAGCTGCTTGCCTGTTGCCAACTGCTATCTATAACCCTGTCTGCAACAGTACTGCAGAGGAATAGACAATGACACAAATCAGACAACACAAAGAACCAGATATATGTCTCTTACGAAACAATGAAATAGGATTCTTTCCCTGTTTCAAAGAAGGATCTCATTAACCCTGTATGTCTGTGTATTCTGATAGATGTAAGAAAAAGTGAAATAACTAGTCCTTAGTAAGATGTAATAAGTTTATTCCATGCTGAAAAGAGAAGAAAGAAAACACAACGTTTCGGCCTTGGAGCCTTCTTCAGGTGTGAAGGTTCCTCGCACCTGAAGAAGGCCCCACGGCCGAAACATTGTGTTTTCTTTCTATTAATAAACCTGTTACTTGTTCCTTTGCAGCCTACGCATGCTGACGTAGCTACCCATGTGAACTACTAGTCCTTAGTGTTCAATAAGTGAACACTAGTTAAAAATTTTGGAACAGCAGCGCTTACTCTTTGCATACTATAAGCAACCATGTCTTATGGAATAAATGATGACATCAAGCATTAAGTTTGTGTCTGGGAGCAGTGTGGGAAAAGGCTCACAGAACTCCAAAAGGAGTGAAGCCCAGGCTCAGATGTGCAGAGAAGCTCCTATGTGTACAGTACCAATTTATGGTCCATTCTGTTCTATTTAGATCAAACTAAATTCTGCTCTCCCAACCTTTCAAGAGTCTTGAATTCATTCAGACCTTCATGTAACACACTAGTACAGGGACTGCAAATTCACCCCTTATAATCATAAAATATGGAGAGAGCACAAATACTGCAGGAATTACTCTTACTGAACACAAATTGCATTATTAACAGACGTCAGATATTTGTCATTTGTAAATAATTGTCATTTGATAATAACAATTCCTTACACTTATGTAGCCCTTTTCTGGACACTCCACTCAAAGCGCTTAACAGGTGATGGGGACTCCCCTCCACCACCACCATGTGCAGCAGCCATTTGGATTATGCAACGGCAGCCATAGTGCACCAGTATGCTCACCACACATCAGCTTTCAGTGGGGAGGAGAACAGAGTAATGAAGCCAATTACTGTAAATAATGTAAATAATTCTTTATTGATTACATTAGTGCAAAATTTTGTATCGCTGTACTTTGTATAATCTAAAGTGTGATTTGCACTCCATAAGATAAAGTGTTACCAAACTGACTTACATGCAACATACTGTACTGTCCAATAATGAAGCACCCTCACACCCTGTCACCAAAGAGACAGCTGTAAGTGCAAATGACATCGCTAGATTATTTGCACTCGTGAAGGTATCCTGATAGCTACTGTACAAGCACAGACAAGAATTCTCTCAAGGGAATGCAACCCATATTGTTTAAATATTTCTCAGGCTGGTCAAGCAATGTCTCATTGGCAAGCCAAGAACCGGCCTAAATCAAAGTGCATTATATTTTGTGAATTTAAATGAATAGAACATAGAAATATGCATCTGAGAAAGCTGGCGAGTGGAAATTCTGAGTCCCTAATTACAGTGGAAGCCTACAGCTAGGAACTCAATAACTATATTCACCGGAAAAGGTGCTTTTAATGTTTTATTTAATATATTTATCACAACTTGATTAAACATTTTGCCTTTTATGAATTCCATTAAACTATCATTGTTGGAAGAAATTACCTCTGATTCTACTAATAATACCACTGCACTTATTTTATAGGTTTTTGCCATTTAACTGCAAAATTTAAAAGTTACTGAATATATACTGTATATATATGCAAAGATAACATCACGTTCAGCCTCTTAAAATTAAAACAAGGTTAGTTGCACAGTAGAAATTACAATATTTAACCCAATAATGCAAATTTGCTCTACTTCTTCAGTAACTGTATTGCAAAAGTAAACCATCGGTAATTTAGAGGCTCGTACCTTAATTTATCTGTTATAAGGGGTTAACAGGAAAGAAAAAATATCTCCATATTTTTACTTACTGTACACTATATAGCCTTAAATATATATATTTTCAGTAACAAAGATCCAAAATAGATACATAAATATTGCGCGTTACAACACACTGTTCTTTTTCAGTATACAGTAACAGCTAATGGAACTGCAAATATTACTGAACTTTTAAACTTAAAAAAACTTCA